TGAGAGACAGTCACATACATCATTTCAAATCATGCAGGAGGCTCTGGCATTTCATTTTGCCAATAAAATGTCTCAATTTTTAAAAAAGATACGCGTTTCAATGCATCATTCTCTGAAAATATAATTGCCTGGAGATTATACATTTTGCTTATGAGTAGACTGGGGCAACAGCCAGGACACATTATTATTTTATACACAATACAATCTCCTCTCAAGATCACAATTTCCCTGGTACAATTTTAGAATACAGTGCTAGAGGTGAACAATTAGCAATAAACTCAGTTCACATGAGTTTCCTTCCCATAAAAGAACGTCTTTCTGAATTTCCTACCCAGCTCTTACCTCTGAAGCTGAAAATCCTTCAAATGTGTAGAATAGAAATATCATGTATACTGACATTATAATTTATAGACACCTTTGCATTTAAATATTCAAGTTCAAACACAAACACACTCACCAATTATGTACATATTACCAATCTGTTCTTCAAATTCAGCCAATTACTTAGAGTATGTGAATATCCCAAAAAGGCAATACCAATCTAAACCTGTAGCTTGTGGTGGATGGTTATTCTAATTTCTTCTAGAATGAATAGATGACATTTATTCAGGGGGTGAAAAAGAGTAATTGGCATTGATCACATCTGTAGCAAACACTTGCAAGTTATCTGAGGTTACTGACATTTCAACTTCTATTTTTATATTTCCTAAAATTTCACACAAAATGGAAAAAAATTCAAAAGAACTGTCTGCCCAGAAGAGTGCTTAGTATTTCTTTGATCTGCCCACTGTTCCAGTGATGGGTTAGAAGAGTCATATGTTACTCAGACAAAACAGGTAATGTTCCCACTCTGGATTATCTCTGACTGATGGTTTGTGGGCATATTTGTCTTGCTTCCTTAGAATACAAAGTTCCTTTAAACTACTAATCTCTTTCCTGACCTTAAAGAGGTCAGAGTGTTAGTAACCTATTCCAGCAACCAAGCAATAGTAAAACAGATTTTACTTTCCAGAAAGTGATGATCTCTTACCATTTCCATGTCCAGTTGCCGCCTCTCTGTAGCTGAGCATGCCCCACAACAAAAGAAAAAGGAGCTCCATGTAACCTGCTCGCATACTGTCGGCACAACACTGACGAGAAGGAGTTTTTTCAAAGGTCAAGGGGCTTTCTCTGGGAGAGCTGATGATCTGTCTATTGCAATCTGACAGAAAAAGGGATAACCATTTTGAGGATACAGGTAGGACATTTCTTTCTGGTCATCAAATCATCGTTCGGCTGTCTAGATCTGTGCGAGAGATTGAAACTGTCAATGTGCAATATACTTTAGCTGTGGTGTGTAGGAAGTGGTTTAATAGGTAGGTGGTTCTTATTTGCACCTTCAGCTACATTTCATTTGTGGGTCAATAAAGGTGGGGAAAAGCTTTAGCTGCCAGGTTTGGACATTTACCCCCCAAATGGAAAAAATCCATCTCTCTGGATTCAGCCACAGAGAGGAAAAGGAAACTGTTCCCTAGGACAGAAGATGGATGGCACTTGGTTTTCTGGCATGTCAGAACAGAATTCATATACCATACTGTCAGTTAAAATTATAAGAACCACCCCCAAGGACATATCAGGTTGGCTTTGCAGAAGTGTTTTTCTTGCTAGAAAAAAGAACATTTGGAAAACTGCAGTGACCATTCTTATGGCTCTTTTTAAATGTAATTTCAACATGTGATGGGCACACTTCCAAAATACTGGAGGGTCTATTTGGATAAACATCCTTCCATAGGGCTGGCAGGTTGGGGAGGAAAAGAGCCTGTTCCCATTTTCTTGTGTTCCCATGGAAAAGAAGAGATGGAATATAACTCCTTCTAAATCAAGGTGCCATCTGGGAGTCATTCTCTGGCATACTCTCCTGAGAGAAGCTGGGGTTAATAGAGAGTTGGGACACACTTTATATTAAAGTTTCGTGTCTACATGGTTAATAGAGAATTAAAGTATCTTTTAATAACTGTTTAATCGATTGTTATAAAGTCAATCGGGTCTCTAGATTGCTTAGAAACACCTATGACACCCTCTTCTGATGTGCTTATAACCTCATGCTACTCATGTCTGTAACATCTATTAATCATTAACCCTTTATAAACCTTTTTGGGTATGTCTGTGCTACAGCGTTATGTCAAAATATCGTATGTCAAAATAGTTATTTCGAAATAGCTTATTTCGAAATAACATATCTACACACAAAATGCATTTCGAAATAGTGTTTTGCTATTTTGAAATAGCGTGTCCACACTGATAGGATGCTGAATCTCATTTAAGGCTGGCCGGAACCGGTTCTGGCAGGCCATCAGGTCAGGAGTTACCTTGTGTGGCTGCTGCCTGAGGCTATCTGAGACCTGTGCTTAAAGGGACCACCCCCCTCTGGGCAGCCGGTTCTAAGGTTTCCCTGCTTGCTTGCCTACCTTGCTGAGGGACAGTAAAGCATTTTTTTCTCTGCATGCTCTGGTTGTCCTCACTCGGGACACCACAGCACTCTGCAGCATGGAGCCGGAGCCGCCCCTGGGCACTCTGGCACTTCTCCTGGACGTGTTGCTGTGAGCCTGGCAGCACGTTCTGCAGGCAGAAACAGACTCCCTGGTCTGCCCCACTGGGGGCTTGTGCCTCATTCCTCCCTCACGTCCTTCCACTTACCCCTCCCTAACACCCCTTCCTGCTGTACAATAGAAGACACATGTGTTCATTACAACAAAGCCTCTTTATTGAAAAAAACTGGGGTGGGGGGGAATGAAACTGAGCTGAGACTGGGGAAACAAGGTGGGAGAGGGGAGGAGGGAGTGTGGGAGAGGGGAAGGGGAAACCTGGGAGGAGGAAGCTGGCAGGGGGAGGCAAGGGGAGGAAGGGGGAAGAGAAGCTCAGGGCTCAGGGTTGGGGGTCTCGCCGGCCCAACTGTCTCCCAGCACCACAGGTGTGGGGGCCTCGGCATCCCTGGGGGTGTGGGGAGGGTAGGGAGGAAGAAGCAGGAGGGGGAGAAGGAGTGGGAGAAGGAGTGGTAGCTGGGAAGGCAGCAGGGGCTGGAGCAGCAGGAGGCAGCAAGCTTTGTCCCAGGGTTGATGACCACCTGGGGGGCAAAGATCGTCCTGCCCTCCAGGATGCGGTCCATGGCATCAAAATAGGGGCAGAGGTCTGGGTCTGCCCCTGGTTGGGAGCTGCCCCTTGTGGCCTTGGCATACACCTGCCGCAGCTCCTTTATTTTCATGCAAACCTGCTCATGGGTTCACATGTGGCCTTTGGTGGCCAGGCTGGCAGCCATCCGCCTGTTGATGGTTGCGTTCCTCCATTTAGTGAGGAGATCATGGACGTTGGAGGCATCCCCCCAAACCTGAATTAGGTCCCTGATCTCTGCACTGGACCAGGCAGGCGCCTGCTTTTTCCAGCCTGTGGAAGGCTCCTGGGAGCTGGCAGATGGGTCCTGGGGAGTGGTGGAGGGCTGGCTGGCACTGGCTGCCTGGCTCATGCTAGGGCCACTCGGTCAGGTACAGTGACTGCAGGCTCTGGACTGACAGGCTTGGAGCTGGCACAGGCACTGTGGCCAGAGTCTACCCCTTTAAGGGCTTTGGAGAGGATGGGAGGGAGAGGAGTTTTCTTGGTTGTGCCCAGAGTGGCCACTAGGGCACCTTGGGAAGGGCTGGAGGCCCCCTATTTTGAAATAAGCGTCTATACAGCACTTATTTCAAAATAGCAATTTTGAAATTGAGGTTTACCAATTTCAAAATAAGCTCTCCACTATTTCGATTTTATTTCAAAATAGTGGTTTGGCTGTGTAGAGCTGGTAAAGTTATTTCGAAAAAACGGCTGTTATTTCGAAATAATTTTGCTGTGTAGATATACCCTCACAAATGGAATGTTGATTTAAAGTAGGAGATAAAAAAAGTCTATGATTTTTTAAACATTTTTACTCTAGAAGTCAGCTGTGGTGATTATTGAAACAAAAGATTCCACAGTAATAGCTTCTGCTATGAAACTCAGTTGCCAGAGGCCTCCCATATTCATTGCAAAGCATAGTGTTGTTGGTTCTGGTGAACTGCTGTTAAGGGTAACTCAAAGCTGCCCTCATGTTGTGGGTGATACTCCTTTTTAATGCAAACACCCCCTTCTCTAATGCACAGTGCAAGATGGCACAACACAAGTAGTATGTGTTTTCCTTTAATGAAGCATGGGAAAGTGCTTATGTAACCATCAGCAGGCAGATTTGAACTTGGGTCCTCAGTGTAGGAACCTCTGCAGCTTGAGCTATAAATCCAATTGGCTCTCAACTTAAGCTGTAGAGCTCCCTTGTTCTTATCTCTTGCTGTAAGTGGTTTAAGTGCCACTACATGGGACAGTGAAGCACACTAAGGCTACGTCTACACTGCAGGCTTCTTGCACAAGAACTGTTTTGTGCAAGAGTTCTTGTGCAAAAGGTCTTGTACAAGAGCGTGTCCACACTGTTATGTGCTTTTGCACAAGAGATGTGCTTTTGCGCAAGAGTGTCCATGGCAGTGTGGACACTTTCTTGCACAAGAAAGCTCTGATGGCCATTTTAGCCATAGGAGTTTCTTGCACAAGAAACCTCTGTTGCCCATCCACACTGCCTTCTTGCGCAACAGCTCTTGCTCAAGAGGGCTTATTCCTCATGGGGAGAGGAATAACTCGTGCACAAGAAGCCCTCTTCTCTGTTGCTTTACTGTAAATTTACTTGCACAAGAACACGTGTGCAGTGTAGATGCTGGGCAAGTTTTTGCACAAGAACAGCCATTCTGGCATAAAAAGTATGCAATGTAGACGTAGCCTAGGTGTGTGGGTTATGCTTACACTTGGCCAGAAAGTTACAGTCTATCATAGATAAAGCTATATGATTAGACAATGAAAATAATCAGCATCTTAAAAGTCCGGATGGTAAAAAGGGACTATCCAGGGACCGCACTGTGCTCCATGTTCATCTTCTAACACTGAAGAAGCAGTGCTCTTTTGTTCACAGGAGCGTTTCCTTGCACAATCACCAGAGGGACCTGGTGTATGTGATATAATGCACTTTATTAATTCTCCTAGATGTGGCCACGGCATGAGTGATGGGAGAGAGATCTCCCAGTCCTCTGTGTAAACCACCCTCACAAAGGGAGTAGCTGATAGGTTCACACTGGTGCTTTACAGCACCGTAACTTGCTGCACTTGGGTGGAGGGTATTTTTTTCACACCTCTGAGATAAAAAGTTACAGAATTATAAAGTACCAGTGTAGATTACCCATTAATACTTAATTTGCCACTGGACGGCGATCAGATACTCTGATGCTGAGTTAAGCATCAGAACCTATAGAGAACAGAAATGTCATTTCCTCTCAGCCAAAGACTAAACACAATGCAAACGTGTCTACTTATGAAAATATTTTCTGAGTTTGAATGTTAACCCAAGTGCCAAAGTGTGTGAAATCTGACTATGGTATTCATCGACAGATTTATTTGACTTCATTGTACAGAGGAAAACCATTGCTTTGCCTCTCAGAGAGACTGCTGCCTCAATTAAATAAGTACTTTTGAACGCACCAAAATGGCTACTCTCATTTCTTGTCTGACCAACCTTTTTAATTTCAGCAACTGACTCATTTACCTCTCCAAGGAGGCCGATGAGTCTTTTCGGAAGTCCTTCAGTTCATTCAGCATTCCCTAGTGAATAGCAGCACTACAGAGCCTTCTCTTCACCCAGCATCTCTCAAAGATGTTCTCTGGTCAAGGGTCATTTTCAGTCTTTCTAATTCCTTGCCAGGCTCTGATTTTAGCTGTATTTCTTCTTTTACTTTGGACAAGTCCTTTCCATGGCTGTGTGACTGAGGTGTGGGAAGCCACTGGGCTCTGCAACACGCATCCACAGCCAGATGTGACTCTCAGCCAGTAGGTAGAACAGAAGGTTTATTAGTTGACAGGGATAGAGCATAGATTTGTCAGCACAGAAACCAGAAGCAGACAGTACAACACCTCTTGGGGGGAGAAGCTCAGAGCCAAAGGCCCCAACTCCCCTTGCTACATCCCAAGCCAGTGGGACTCACTCATTCACTCACCCAGCAGCCCCTCTCCCCCTGGAGCCAGCCCCACGTCTGGCCTTTGTCCTACTTCTGGGACAAAAGGTGTCACCTGATCACACACC